AAACTCCTTTCATTTAGGTGTTCGATCTGAGATTCTATTGGTGGAGTCTGGAGGGGACCTGAGAAGACCTGGAGGGTCCCTCCGTCTCACCTGCCAAGCCTCTGGATTTGATTTCAGCAGCTACGAAATGAATTGGGTGAGACAGCCTCCAGGGAAAGGACTGGAATGGGTGGCCTATATAGATGCAGACTCATCTCCCATTTACTACTCAGACAAAGTGAAGGGGCGCTTCACCATATCCAGGGACAATGCCAAAAGCCAGCTATATCTGTAAATGAGCAGCCTCAAAGCTGAAGACACAGCAGTCTATTACTGTGCGAGAGACACAGTGAGAGGAAGTGAATCTGGAGCTTGGCAAAAACCTGCCATTCATCAGAGCAGCCCTGCAAGTCCATTCAGCCCCAGAAGGCTGCCTTTTTCAATGAGGGGAGGCTGAGGAAGCTGCCTAAGTGTCAGGAGGAAGATAGAGCTGATCTTGGTATCTGCAGTGTGGGAGCATTTTCCAATTAAAAGGGGAAAAAATGAGAAACCTCACCAAAGAAAATCAACTGAGTAATTAAACAGGGGGGTAAAAAAGCCTCGTTCTTTTTTGACATTCAGATCTTCCTCCTTCTGTCTTTGTGTGCGTGTATCTCATTGTCTGTGTCTACATATTCTCCCTCTCCCTCTCTCTCTCTCTTTCTATCTTTCTCTTGCTTTCCCTCCCTCTCTCTCTCCTTCCCTAAACACACACACACAAAATTGAAATGTTAAGTATGTTGAATATCATATTCATCCTCTAGCAATAGATATATAGCCATGTAATAAAATAAGGTGCTCTCAGAAGCACATTCTTTTGTTGTGGTATAACTTCAAAGATTTTGCCAACATGCGCTGGATCATGGAGAAAGCTAGGGAGTTCCAGAAAAACATCTACTTCTGCTTCATTGACTATGCAAAAGCCTTTGATTGTGTGGATCACAACAAATTGTGGCAAGTTCTTAAAGAGATGGGAGTACCAGACCATCTCATTTGTCTCTTGAGAAACTTATATGCGGGTCAAGAAGCAACAGTGAGAACTGGACATGGAACCACTGATTGGTTCAAAATTGGAAAAGGAGTCCGGCAAGGCTGTATACTGTCGCCCTGCCTATTTAACTTATATGCAGAGCACATCATGAGAAAGGCAGGGCTAGATGAATCAAAAGTTGGAATTAAGATTGCCGGGAGAAATATCAACAACCTAAGATATGCAGATGATACCACTCTAATGGCAGAAAGTGAAGAGGAACTAAAGAGCCTCTTGATGCGGGTGAAGAAGGAGAGTGCAAAAGTTGGCTTGAAACTCAACATTAAGAAAACCAAAATCATGGCATCCGGCCCTCTCAATTCCTGGCAAATAGATGGGGAAGAAATGGAGGTAGTGACAGATTTTATTTTTCTGGGCTCCAAGATCACCTTAGATGGGGACTGCAGCCAAGAAATTAAAAGACGCTTGCTCCTGGGGAGGAAAGCTATGGAAAATCTAGACAGGATACTAAAAAGCAGAGACATCACCCTGCCAACAAAAGTGCGTATAGTTCAGGCCATGGTTTTCCCAGTTGTAATGTATGGCTGTGAAAGATGGACCATAAGAAAGGATGAGCACAAAAGAATTGAGGCGTTTGAACTATGGTGCTGGAGAAGACTCCTGCGAATCCCTTGGACTGCAAGGCATTCAAACCGGTCAGTCCTAGAAGAGATCAACCCTGACTGCTCTTTAAAAGGCCAGATCCTGAAGTTGAAACTCAAATACTTTGGCCATCTAATGAGAAGGAAGGACTCACTGGAGAAGGGCCTAATGCTGGGAAAGATTGAGGGAAATAGAAGAAAGGGACGACAGAGAATGAGATGGCTGGATGGAGTCACTGAAGAAGTAGGTGTGAACTTAAATGGACTCCAGAAGATGGTAGAGGACAGGAAGACCTGGAGGAATGCTGTCCATGGGGGTGCGATGGGTCGGACACGACTTCGCAATTAACAACAACAACAACTTCAAGGAAGCAAGCCAAAGTCAAAAGACAAGGCTTAAAATCTTGAGGCAAATGGCAGCATAAAAGAGGTTATTTTGTAATTGGTGTAAAAATAAAGGAATGTTGATTGGACATCTCAGGTCAATCCTATAGAAAGTCATATTCTCCACCCCCAAAATAATGACCCAAATAGCTTTAATTCTTCTGAACTATCTCAAGAGCAGCATTGGGGCCATTTCCGCCTTTCTCACATGACCCATTTCAGTTTTCTGGAGTTCAGTAACCTTTTCCAACTTCCCTTCCCCTTTAAGAGCATCTACATCTCCTGGGAGAATGAAGTCCTCTATCTCACCTTCACTGGTCTTACAGTAGGGGCCACTGGTGGTCTGCATAATCCCACAGAATAGGGATCCAGTAGAAAGTGTTTTTAGATGGCATGACCTTTCTGAGATTGATAGTTTCCATTGTTGTCAGTTGAAAAGGAAGTGAAATTAAAGCTCCCTTTACAA